ACTCCTCACCCTTGCTGCATCAGCCTTAAAAAAAACTCGCCTCCTGTTCCCGGGCTCAAATACACACTGCTATGAAGACCGGGGCATGTACATAGGGGATGGCGTAGCCCCCTTTGAAGCCCCAAAACCCACCTATAAGCAGTGCGATCTTGGCACATCCCCCTTTTAAAACATCCCCAGAGGCAAAGAGGAACTAGAGTCGCAATGGAAGGCTGCAGGTAACGGCGAGGCAGCACAGTCAATGTGCAAAGCCATCAAATTTGGGGTCAGGCTTCCTCACAGTTATGGTAAAATCTTCCAGTCTTTGCCCTCACCCTCCAAACCTTCCCCATCCTCTCCCAACCTACTGCATCTCTCTCCTGCTCCATGCAAGGACGCGTCCACATTGGCATCTGTAGACCCCGAGGATGCACACACTCCATCATACCCTCATGAGATGTTTGCAAAACCGCTATCTAAACACCCGTAGCACACGAAGCTCAGCCATGGGCAACCTGCCGCCACTGTTCCAGCACAGAACTGAAGGAAGGGATGCGGAGAGAGTTTGCTGTGGTGCTGCCATGCCACAATCCTCGTTGCTCAGAGGGTTTGCATGTCAGATGCCGGCTTGTTTTGGTTGCGAATAGCACCAGCATGGTGCTGGGACGCAGCCTGATCACTGTGAGCAGAGGCAAGGAGGTGACATGCTCTGAGCCAGGTGACACCAGCTCTGCAGAGGGGGATGGAGGAGACCCAGCAGCTAACAAGGCAGCAAACAGAGTGATGCTTTCGAGTATAATTAGATCAGTTAATAGTTCCTGCAGCTTGAAATCACCCCTAACAGAATTAGGGGAATTGCTGAGACAGCTGCTCTCACCAAAGGCATTTCAATAAAACACATTCCCTGCACAAGACGGGCTTGGCACAGGGATGGTGTCACCAGCATGGCTACGGGAGAGTGCATACCACCAGCGCCTGCTGCCAACAAGACCAGATCTCAGCCTGACACCAACCTGGAGCAGTGGTGGAGCAGACTGACCACGAGCCCGGCACCAGATGTTTGGTGATGGGAGCCCGCCAGGATGCCTTTGGCAGTGATCGCAGTCTCATCACAGGTTTTCTAGAGCGGGGAGAGGATGAAGCCGGTGTTCGAGGCAGGAGGGATGTTGTGGAGCTCCTCAGAGCTTCACACTCCCGTCTCAGATGGGTCAGCTCCAGCTTGTCCTTCCGAGGTCATGCCAGTGTTGCTAGACTTTGGCTTTAGGAGCCTTTCCCCGCAGTTTTGCAGCCCCACGGCCAACTCAAAAGACATTTTCTACAAAAAGGGAGCTCTGGTCAAAGAACCATGTTGCCTTCCTCTACCCAGCCCCACGGGAAGGGAAGTTTTTCAACCACCCAAGCCCAAATATGCTTTTGCTGGTGTGCAGAGAGCAATGCAGATCCCCTTATCTCAGGGGCACACACCATTAACATTCAGCTGGGAGAAGAGCAGCTTCCAAAAAGCTCCACATCAGAGCAGTTACTGTGGGAGTCTAAGGAGCACATCCAACCCAAACCCCATTTTCAAGGAGGCATCATGCCACCAAGAAGATGCCTGTCTCCTGAGAGGCTCAGTGGGAACTGCTCATGATGCTTGCCCAGTGGCAGGCAGCTCGCCAAGACCCAGAAGTGCCCACATCATCCCACTTGGGAAGCCGGGACATAAGTGGGAGCAACTGTAATTCTGCACCTCCCAGTGCCAGTCGCTCTAGGGGATCCAGGGATGTCAACCCTCAGGAGAAAGCAGCTGCTGTAGTTGAGCTAGGAAGCTCCTCTCCACCACTGGAGAGGATGCTTGATGCAAGCCAAGCACAGCGAGAAAGAGCTTTCTGAACCAACTGTTTCACCAAATCTCTTGCAATTAAGCTCTGCTCTCATTACCCTGGTGAGAGCAGGCGGGATCTGCACATCAGGATCCATCAGCCCCGCAGGGGTAAGGATCCATCCTGCTGCCCTGGGGTCTTTCCGAGCAGTCCGGCAAGGCTGCAGCATCACAAGGAGCAGGGGCAGAGGTAGATCCCTCTTGATGAAGGTGCTGGGATCCCTCTGGAGATCTTGGGGATGGTCTCCAGCCACACAGGTGTGCTCACTTGTGCTGAAAGCACCTCATTTGGATTTGTAGACATGCCCTTAGTGTAGCTTTCTCCGCTGTATCCTTCAGGTGAGGCGAAATGCTCACTGAATCCTTATACATTTCACAGACTCCAGCTTTGGATAGCCAGGTCCAGCATCTCCTCCAGCATCACCCCTGACCACCCCCATTAACGATGGGAAGGCAGGAGAGAGATGCCAGGCATGAAATAGGGATGGTTTCACCCTGACTTTTCACTCCAGGTTGAGAGATGCCGCTACAACAGAAGCCAATGCATGCAGCACACCAGAAGCAACCAAAGGCAACGGCAGGATTTGCCTTCTGCAGGGCTGGCCATAAAAGTCATCACTCTCAACAGAGCAAGCCGGTGGAGAAAGATCTTTGCACGAGTTCATCGAATTACTGCAGACTAAAAATAGCTAGGCTGTGGGAAATCACAGGGCACCTCTGAGGCATGCTCCGAAATGGTGATTGCAGAAGTGAGGGGTAATGCAGATAGACAGGCAGACAGGCCACAGAGCTTCACAGTGGGGTGAGGAGCAGGAGAAAAGGGAGGAGAACAAGAAACCGCTCCCACGTCACTGCCTCTCAACCAGGACTGGGCGGGGGGGATGTTGGATGTTTTTGCACTCTCTGCCTCAGGTATGCTCTGTTTGTCCCTCCTGCCATGGCCACTTCGGCTCCTCTGCCCACCACAAGCCTCTTCTCCCAGTTTACACCCAAACCACCCAACCCTACAAGGCCCAAGCTCTCATTGGCTTCGCTGCTCCTTGCGGGGGGTCTCCAGCAGTCCTGGGATTTTCAGCAAACTGCAGCTCCGTGGCTTTTGGGTTGAGGGAAATCACATCAGAATGGCATGGTGGGGGGTGGGGGGGAGGTGGTGGCAGGGGTGGGGGGGGGTGCTGAAGCTCGTCTGCATTGCTGCATGTCCCAACACTCAGCCCAGCTGTGCCTCAGTTTCCCTAGCTGAAGGTATTACATCTTGTAAAGCAATCAGGCTCTTTGCAGACACCAAACAAGCAGTGCCAGTGCACTGGTAGTTCCGCAGAAGACCTTCCACTGGATTTCCTCTGAGCAGATCCCCGCAGCAGATCCCCCAGCCCTGGAGTGCACAGAGCAGAGCTCCTGAACACTCCTGCTTTGTGTTTCCTCGTCCCCACCAGCAAGCTTAGCTCAAAGAATCATAGAATCATAGAATGCTTTGGGTTGGAAGGGACCTTTAGAGATCACCTAGCCCAACCCAGGGCTAGGACCTTGCACTTGGCCTTGTTGAACCTCATGAGGTTCACACAGGCCCACCTCTCCAGCTTATCCAGGTCCCTCTGGATGACATCTCGTCCTTCTGCCATGTCAGCTGCACCACTCAGCTTGGTGTCATCTGCAAACTTGCCGAGGGTGCACTCAATCCCACTGTCTATGTCATTGATGAAGATGTTAAACAGCACTGGTCTCAGTACGGACCCCTGAGGAACTCCACTTGTCACCAGTCTTCATTTGGACATTAAGCCATTGACTACTACCTACTATGTGGACATCGAACCGTTGACTACTAAGAAGAGGATCCTTGGGTTTGATTTTACAACATGTCACACTTACAGCTCCTGGCTGCCGCCATCTGGATGAGTTTGTCCATACTGAACAGTGAAGCACAGAGGGTAGAGCAGTGTAGAGATCCCCATCCCAAGCTGGCAGTCTCCCCCAGCATGGTCCATGCTCTCCTCTCTTCCCAGACAGCTCAGGTCATGACACTTTTCCCAATGGGAACAATTTCAATGGTCACCAGCTCCCCATCAGGGGCCATCACAGCACTCGTTCCTGTGTCAACTGTGGTTTCAAAACCAGTTTCCCAGTAGGGAGAGAGGAAAGGCAAACTGGCCCATCCCCGTCTTCCCAAAGCACACGGCAAGAAGGGAACCCCCCTGGCAGCAACTCATGGGAATGCGGGTTTCAGTTCGGCTTCCACTTGAGATAATGAAGACAGTCACAGTGAGGAGCAGCCAGGGGATTAAGGCCAATAGCTTAATTCCCTGCACACAGTGGCCATGGAAGAGCAGAAGCAGACGTCTAAGAGGAGCTCTTGGTTACCCGACCGAGGCTTCCACCACCACTGCTCTTTCTCACCTTTGTGCTTCTGGGCTCTGTTTCTGCTTCCAGACCCCAACTGAAGCCAGACACAAGTATGAGGAGCTCACCCTGAGCCTCCCAAAGCAGAAACCTCCAGCACCCCAACAAGGCTGAATGGAAGGCCAGGTTCCAGCGCTCGTCGTGGTCCACTGAGCCATCTATTCATCCCCATGTTACTTGGCAGAGCCCCAACAGCAACGAAAACCCAGAGGACCTGGGAAAGCAAACCAAGCTGCACACAGATGAGACAAGCTCCAGCAGAAAAAAAAGGTTCAATTGGCTTGGCAAGAGAGACAAGAGCCTGATCTCCTGCCGAGTCAATTTGAAAGTTCCGCCAGGGTTTTTCAATCCAGCGGGAGATTTCTGCCACCTCCCAGGGTTTGAGCATTTTTGTGACAGACCTGCAGGTTGCCAAGCAGAAACGAAGTCAGCTCCATCAAGTTCCCGTGCAGGCTGGCACGGCCCTTCCTCTGGCACCTCCAGAACAAGTTAGCTCTCGCAGAAAGGCAGAGAAATGGCAGCTTAGATTTTTGTCCGGTGTCTGGGCAAGGGGATAACGCAATGCATTGGGCTGACTCAAGTTTTGGCCCATTTACTCCCTTTGCTAGACAGATTAAGGGCTCCTTTGTGTCCTAACCACCCAGATGGTGGGGGGAAAGCCCAAGACATGCCAACAAGCCACAAAGCAGGGACATGGGAAGGAAGGGATTGCCATAACTCCAAATTGACATTGTAGGAGAGCAAAAAGCTCTCTAGTCACACTTACCATCCTCTGTCTCTTGCCAGACGATGCCCTCCAGGTTCACGCTGGTCCCGGGCTCGCAGGGGCCCAGGCACTCTGGCTCAGTGGCCAGGGCCACGTCACAAGTGTTCACTCCCACCGAACGGGTGCGTACCATGATCTGCTCACAAGGCGACGAGATGTCGTTGCTGACAACAGGGACAAGGAGGTGCAAGGGCAACACCGCAGGCGTAGAGACTGGAGACTCCATCTGTGGGGAAGGAGAAACAAGCCGGTCACCGTCAGGAGAGCAAGTATCAACAGGCATCTACATTCCTGGAAAAAGTCAAGCCCAGGGCTGCCACCTTGTCAATGCCTGTGCCAGCAAGCAGTTCAAGTCCCACACCCTGTCAGAGGACAAGGATCTCACAGGTCTCTCCTACCTACCCTGGCGTGCCTATACCCACGTAACCCTGAAGAGCCAGCACTTTGTAGTCATATAGATCACACCCAAAAGTTCCTCCGCAGGA